TAAAAACCCTCAGATAATATCGTATCTGTGTCATCCACGTATCTAAAATATATCAATATCTATAAGATATCAATATCTTATCTCATATCTTCCTCTTCCTCCGCAGGTGTACGCCATCCTGGTCAGTCACCCTCCGCAGTCCAACGACCACCTGACTCCGACACCCGTCTCCTACACCGCCGGCTTCTACCGGATCCCCGTGGTCGGCCTGACGACGCGCATGTCCATCTACTCTGACAAGGTAACCAACCCCGGCAGCAGCTTTCTCAATGTTTGTTTATGGTGGTGTTCCTCAGGGCTTCATCCCGGGTCCTGTGATATTCACTCTGTATATCTGTGCAGCCATTTAGACCAACGAACAAGAAGTTCTGAAGGGTTTCGTTTATTTTACTGACGAGCAAAGGAAGCTGCATTAGAAAAATTCCTTCAGAATAAAAGTCCCAGTGCAGGCAGAGGTCAGTTCATCTAACAGGCTAACTTATGCTAATGTTTCCTGTTTCTAGCTGAATTTAGACTGGAGACCGGAGGCTGCCAGCAACTTCTAAGGTGGAATGTTTTCTTGCATGTTACCTGAATCATCTTAAAACTTGGAGCTTTACATTTGACTGTGTCTGGATGACAAACGCTGCAGTGAACACTGTGAATGCTCATCTCAGTTCAGACTCAGATTGAGTCTCTGAGCTTTACCAAATTGATGAAACCATTCAGTGTCATTAGTCCCAGAATATCCCAGCAGTCCCAGTGACAGTCCAGTTACTGCAGAGGATCCAGAGTCGGGATGAAGTGTGTGTTTGATTTTCTCACCAGCAGCAGCAGTGGTTCACAGATTGGATATCTGTGCATGCAGAAAGTTTGGGTTTTATTTGTCTCACGTCAGGAGACTCTGAGGGACCTTCTACCTTTCAACCTGCTGGTTGGACTCCATCTGTCCCTAACTGGTTTACAGTCTAACATCCCCCGGTCCCGTTCTTGTGAACACAATATCTCAACACTACAATCGAATTTATTCAAATGTGGACCTGAGGATGTTTGTTAATCGTTGTTAATCTCATTAGTGGACAATAGAAACACTAATGATTGTATGTTATCAATGAGCTGATTAATGAGCCCCAGCAGGCAGCAACCCCCATCCCTGTTCTACTGCCCTCCATCCCTGTTCTACTGCCCCCCATCCCTGTTCTACTGCCCCCTGTCCCTGCACTACTGCCCCCTGTCCCTGCACTACTGCCCCCCGTCCCTGTACCACTGCCCCCCAGTGTCCACTGCCCCCATCCCTGTACCACTGCCCCCCTTCCCTGTACTAATGCTCCCCATCCCTGCACTACTGCCCCCTGTCCCTGCACTACTGTCCCCCCCATCCCTGTACCACTGCCCCCATCCCTGTACTACTGCCCCCCTTCCCTGTACCACTGCCCCCCACCCGACCTGCCCGTCCCTGCACTATTGCCCACGCTGGTTTTAAGAGTCCTCTTTGTCCCACCTCAGAAGTTCTAGTCCACCATTTGGTTCCTGCTCTGGGACTCTACCATGGAACCTCACACAGCTGCTCTGTTGTTCCAGAGGTCAGAGCCGAGGAGCAGCTCAAACCTTCCTCTTCAGTTTTATTTATTTGCTTTGTAAATTTATTTAATCTGGTTTTTAATGAAACTTTTATTGAACACTATTGTTGCACCTGTAAAATCAATGTGTCAATTTTATCTTTGTTTTCTATTTTAAAATCGACTTTATTTTTTACTCCGTTCTGTTTTATTATCATCTTTAATCTCACTTTGATTGATGGATTGATTAATCATTGCTTTCATCTTTCATCTCGTCCAGTCTTCCACTTCCTGCTTCGTTCTGAACGTCAGCTGACTGTAAACAGCGTATTGGAGCTCGTAGAGAGGATGTAAAACTGTCAGGAGGAAACAAAAGGGGGCAGGGAGGCAGGGAGGAAGGGAGGCAGGGAGGAAGGGAGGCAGGGAGGCAGGGAGGCAGGGAGGCAGGGAGGCAGGGAGGAAGGGAGGCAGGAAGGCAGGGACCAGAACCAGAGCAGACAGGATGTACCTGTAGAGGTCCAGCACACCTGTCTCACACAGTGAGGAGAGGATTCAAGGTGTGAGAGGTCAGAGTTTCACCTGACTGACTGCAGGATCATCTGTCAGAACTAACACTCCTCCTCCTCCTCCTCCTCCAGAGCATCCACCTGTCCTTCCTGAGGACGGTGCCTCCATACTCCCACCAGGCTCACGTCTGGTTCGACCTGATGAGGGAGTTCAGGTGGAACCACATCATCCTGATCGTCAGCGACGACCACGAAGGCCGAGCGGCTCAGAAGAGACTGGAGACGCTGCTGGAGGAGAGAGAGACCAAGGTCAGCTATGAGCCGCCGCACAGGCAGCGTGTGCACGAGGACACGCGTGTGCTGTCCTCTGTGTTCATGTGACAGCGTGTTTTTGTTCTAATGCAGGCGTGTGTGTGAGTGTGTGTCTCATCACTTCACCTCCATCCATCAGACTGCAGCTTCACCTGTTCAACCTGTTCAACAGCTCACTGTTCGCAGGCATTTCAAAATAAGAGCCCACATTAAACAGGGAGAGATACGTTTTAAATATCTCTAACGATCTCTGAGACTGCAGGTGAGATGTCTGGTTGCCATAGTGACAGGAACTGATTGACCCGTCAGAGCAGGGATGTAAAGATTTGTTACCAACCTGAAACATGTGAACCAGTGTGAGTTGACTGTGACACCTGTGCAGGTGTTGGAATCTCAAATCATCAGAGTCCTCAGCAGCTTCTCTTCCATCACTTTCTTTCCTTCTTTTCTGTTTTTAATCTCCACCAAGAGTGTTTGTCAGTTACATTATAAGATACAGTCTCTCATTAACGTCTGTATATTATGGCTATATTGTACATTATGGTTATATTATGGCAGCACAGTGAGCAGAAACAGATTCTGAGGGAAGATGGATGAGTTCAGTCATTAAAGCTGCTCTCTGAGAGACTGTTTCCCCAGAGCATGCTGGGAGGGTTCCCAGTGCACCTACCTCATGTACCTGCAATCACATGATCAGCTTCCAGCCAATCATATTGTCAATAATGGTTTCAGCTTTCTTCCAAAATAAGAGCACACTGCTTTCGTTTCCCTTCCTGTATTAGACTCATTGCGTTCAGTCTTGGTGGAGTTTATTTTATTCTTCTGTGCTTTTTATTCTTACTTTTGTCAAAAAACGGCTTCAATTTACTTTTTCTTTAGCCCTCTGTCTCTCTCTCTGTCGGTCTCTCTCTCAGTCTGTCTGTCCGTCCGTCCACGTCATCTTTCAGTTCTCCACCTCCGTCTGTTGTCTGGTTTCTCATCACCTCGACACTGAAGGAGTTCGGGCTCGGAGTCGCGCAAACACATCTCAGCTGCTTCTGTCACAGCTGTTGACCTTCCTCACGTTCAGGACGCTGAGGACGCTGAGGACACGTCCTCTGTGTTTTAATACAATAAATGTTAAATTAAAGTGACAAATTGCTAAAACTACTTAGCTGAGGACATCCAGTCCTACAGGTAGTATGGATAAACCCTCTCAGATCATTTAAAACCTACGTCTCCTGTACATCATACTCAGACTGTCTCACTGTGTCTGTAATGTCGCTGTTGGCTAGTAGAGCGCAACCGTTAGCTTTGTACCATTAGCATCATTCATCGTTGGCTGAAACTGTCCGTCAGAATATTAAGTAAGCTGGGGAAGCTAGCGTTAACCACTCAGATAGTATTCAGCCAGGCTGAACAACGTAATCCGACAGCCGGGCCTCGCTTGAGGTTCATGGTGATCCACGCGTACGTCCACAGTTAATATGTCCTGAATGTGAACATTAACTCAGTAATATCTGTGTGCTCCTCTCTAACTGACCCCAGAAACAACCTGTGAGTTCAGTTCCTACTGCGTCACTAACTGGTAACTAACTAAGTATTTTTTGTACTTTGTGTCTAAAATGAGAAAAAGTCATATTGCACATTAAATTAAAGAGGAGAAACTCTGCTACAAGCACATATATTAGTCATATTTACACACACCAAACACATTAATTATTAATTATTATCAAAATCTGTACAGCGTCATAAAGTCAACCCACTCACCACATTTCCATTAATAATGTGTTCTGTATGGTTTCCTGGCCTGGTTGATTTAAAAAAAAAAAAAGTCAAAAACTGTTGTAAATGGATGTGATGAAGGGGTTAGTGACATAAAAGTGAAATATATACCGTAAAACTTCTAATAATAGCCCGGGCGTTTATTTGCTTAAATCACTAAACTCCCCTTGCCTTCTTTGGGGACAGGCCTCTATTTGGGACAGGCCTTTAATTCCTTTAGCACAAGACTAAACTAAACACTAACTGCTGCTTCTCTTGAGTTTTGTTCAGCAAATTTGACAACTAACATGATTATTATGATCACTTCAGGTTTTTTTCCGTCTCTCTGGTTTACCATGTTAGTGATAATTAAGATGAATTAACGTTATAATTTGGTGTTGACAGTTATCGTAATATCTATTGAACGATTGAATTAGGGAGAATCTAACTGATCTAATGATGTTCATTATGTACATACTGACAGAAGTTTAAACATTTATATTTGTGTAGGAGATTGAAACGACTTAAAACTCGCTCAAGCAGGCGACCCGGTGGGTTTTAAGAGGGTTTATACGTTGAGATAATTTCTATAAAATCCAGACCAGGCCTCTATTGGAGACCTGCGTTTATTTGTCAAAACGTGTAGCCACACCAGGCTTTTAAAAGAAACATACCTCTATTAGGGACCCTGCTTTTATTGGAAGTTCTACGGTAGTTTGGTACATAAAAAAATTCAAATGGCATAAAGTTAAACAGTCTGCTCTGCATCACTTTATAACTCAAACTTACTCAAACTTGGCAGAGATAATGTGCACATGTTATATACATATGTTGCTAAGCTTTGATTTAGATTTAGAGCTGCAACTCCATGCATATTCATTGTAAAAGTGTAAGTTTTAGTGACATACTGATACTTACATATCTGAACAAATGTCACACGTGTTCCCTTATTATGACACCAACATTATTTAAATAGATCCTGTAGTTGCAGAGATATACTGTATTCATTGTGGGTCATTTTCGAGCAGAGGCCTAAAAAAAGAGGTTAATATTCATAAATATGGAAACAAAATATTCAACAATGTTGTCCTTCATATTCATGCACTTTATCACATTTAAAGGGTGGAAATTAGTTATCTAAGAAAATAACACACAAAATAAAGAATGAAAGAAACTAAATATGAAAACAATTGTACAGTAGCTTTCAACAACACGGCAAAAACAGTATTCTTTATGAAAAAGGTAAAATAGAATAAATCAGATGAACTTACTCACACATATAATTCGGTTTACAGGTTTTAGGGTGGAGGACCTGTTTAAAGACACAGTGAAACCCAGTGGAGGTAAAAATAAAACCTCAGTGAGTCCAGATGAGTTTTAGAGAAGTTAAAATGAGAGCCATGAATGTCGGAGTAGACTCCTGAATATTGCAGCGCTTTAGTTAAAGTAGGTGAACAGAGCGGCAGCGAGTGTTGTTTCTGAATTAAACATCTATCTGATTCATTATGAAATAATGATGATATCACAGCAGGCTGCTGCACAGCTTCTGTGTGTGTCTGCAAACAACACGAACACCAGCTCACATTATAACGCTGTATATACTGTATATATACATCATACAGTAGGTAATAAATACTGTATATCTACATCATACAGTAGGTAATAAATACTGTATATCTACATCATACAGTAGGTAATATATACTGTATATATAGATCATACAGTAGGTAATATATACTGTATATCTACATCATACAGTAGGTAATATATACTGTATATATACATCATACAGTAGGTAATATATACTATATATATAGATCATACAGTAGGTAATATATACTGTATATATACATCATACAGTAGGTAATATATATACTGTATATATACATCATACAGTAGGTGATATATACTGTATATCTACATCATACAGTAGGTAATAAATACTATATATATAGATCATACAGTAGGTGATATATACTGTATATATACATCATACAGTAGGTAATATATACTGTATATCTACATCATACAGTAGGTAATATATACTATATATATAGATCATACAGTAGGTAATATATACTATATATATAGATCATACAGTAGGTAATATATACTATATATCTACATCATACAGTAGGTAATATATACTATGTATATAGATCATACAGTAGGTAATATATACTGTACATACACATCGTACAGTAGGTAATATATATACTCTATATATGTTACCTACTGTACATCATACAGTACACTGTGACTGTTAAAAGCCAGGATTTATGTACATTCTAGCACAAATAATAAATTGGTTGCTTGGAGATGTAGCGACGTCTCACAGGGCTAGTTTCTAAACTACTGTAGCTGGCGAGCTAACAGCTAACATGCTAGCCGGGTTACCGCTAGTAAAAGATAAGAGCTTTCTTTGTGTCCCTGACATTTTCTTACTGTTGTTCAATAGGAAGTTATTCTCCGTGTGCCGGTTGCAACGCGTATAGATCATCCTCCAATTAAACACATCCAGTTATTCCTCTGGTCAATGTGAGTATGAACTCCGTTTCAAACATCCTAAAGGCCAAAATAGCTTCCTCTGCTTTTTTCATAACTGAACTATTAGACGATTAATCAGTCGGCCATTGAAAGAAACATTTTGATCGATCATTAAACCGAAGCCACTCGGACAAATGGCACCTTTGAAGTTTGGCTTTGAAACGTATTAAACGTATTACTGGTCTGATTTCTTCGCTTACAACAAACAACATTTACATGAGTTGCACAATTTGTGTAACAGAGAAAACGAGACGGAATCGCTGTGAGTCCCCCCCCGGCTCTCCGTCCACTGATCTGAGTGTCACAGAAGTTGTTCTTGTTATTCTTGTATATGTGACCGCACAGCGTCCAAATAAATACACACTTTGCAACCTTTAACAGGTTCAGACAGGGGAGTGTGTGTGTGTGTGTGTGTGTGTGTGTGTGTGTGTGTGTGTGTGTGTGTGTGTGTGTGTGTGTGTGTGTGTGTGTGTGTGTGTGGTGTTCAGGGACTTTGCGTCAGGATGTAAATTTAATGAGATTAACATTTGGAGCGGATTGAGTGGAGGACTAATGGGACTCTCCGCCGCCACTTCGGCTTAACATCAGAGGAAGTGTGAGAGAGCAGAGCCGGTTCAGAGTTCTGAAGTTCTACCTTTACTGAACCAACTCAGGTTCATGACACCAGGTACCAACGGAGCTCTGACCACAGCCGCTGCTGCAGCAGGTGGTTGTTTCACATCGCTCTGTCCCGAATCGTTGGTTACCGTCGGTTACCGTTGGTTACCGTCGGTTACCGTTACAGGACATTGGGTTTCAGTTTCAGTCAGTGATTTGTGTTGAGTTATGGTACGCTGTAGAGTTTATGTTCAATAAGTGCTGAGACGTAAACTCTTCGACAGCTGGCGTCCCTAAACCATGCTATCTGGGTTAGCCGCTGCACGTATAGCTCACATAGAGAACATTTAAAGTATTGTTTGGCAAAAAGGACGTTTTTTATCAGTAGTAGTAGCTCTAGTTCTAATCAGATTAATACATTACCAATACTGACGCTATATCTCTCTTCAGTTTCTGTCAGGACACGTACAGGTACATTAACATTAGCTGCTAAATTCATTGTAATGTTTTAAATAATGGTTCTTTATTTCTGGAAGAAGTAAAAGCACATCGATTTCATGCATTGGTTGAAATTTTGTGTTTGTTTCCATTAGACTCATTTTAAAACGAGAACTCTGTCAAAGGGTTCAAATATGCACATGATGGCTACGGTAACGCTAACAGACTAAAGCTAACGGGTCCCAGGTCAGGATACAATGCTGGTAATGATCCATGTAGAAGACTAAAGAGACAACATAATAAAATGATATTAGTTTCTGGTTTCACTTCAGCTCTAAATATTCACCACATCTAGTAGAAAGCAGAATTTGCTGCTCACTGTTTGAGTGAGTGAACTCTGGAGACTCATTTACATGTTGTAGAGCTAAAATAAATCTTGTTTTTCAGATCTGTTGTTAATTAATCAGGTGGGATCAGAGTTTGACAGCTTTCTGATTCCTGTTTCTTTGTTCTCCGTCTGCTCTGAAACTGCTCCGTTCAGGTATTTTTATCCCAAACTAAATATAACTGAATGAACCAGGAGGTCACTGTGTTACACTGACTGATACTGAAAGCTGCCAGTGACAGTTTGTTTTAATCTCACGAGTTTAACTTCACATTGCCATGTTGTGAATCACTGCATTGTTCTTATTGGGAGAAGTGATAAAGAAAGTCTTCATACAGTCATCGTTTAATATGCAAATGACAGTTCCAGCTAACAGGCAAGTGAAAAGCTTAAGCACATGTTAATATATAACAAACAGATAGATGTTCATCACATGATGAATTTCAAACTTAAAGTTTTCAGATGTTTTACATATTGTTTCTGTCGTAAACTTCATATTTAGATTTTTCTTCATTAGATTTTTATAAATCAGTGCTATTGGTTCTCCTTTACGTCCGCCGGTGGGTTATACAAATATTTAACAATGAAAAGTATTAAAAAACCAACAATATCAACGTTGTCAGTGCGGTGTTTTATTATTATAAAAACAAAGGATTTTTTTCACGTTTGCATTTTCCTGAAACGCTAAAATATTTAAGCTTTTAAGGGCACCGTAACTTTCTTCCCGACAGCGACAATCAGTGGTAATTCTGCTGATTCTTTAACAACTGAAAAACACTGAAGTTTGTATTTAGGGGTGTAAGAAAATATCGATTATAACATTATGTTTGTGATACTGAATCGATTTCACATGGTGGTCTTTATAACAGGTTTCCTAAAATGTTATTTTAGGAAATGTCAATAAATGATTGTGTTACAGAATCATAATATATTTTGTTTGTGTGATATTTATTACCAGATTCCAGCTGATACACAGCCCTGTTTGTGTATAATAATAAATTAATGTTAAAAAGTAACCAGATCAATAATTATTAATAATTAATTAGAAATTATTTTATGTTTTCAGGAAAAATATCACAAAGTATTGGAATTTTGTCGAGATTCACTGATACGAGTCAGGAATCAGTTCTAACGTTATAGCTGCAACTACTTTGGTACACGGACCCCCGGATGGATCAATGTACCACGAACCGGTCGATGGTCTGATTCTAAAGTTCTGTTGACTAAAGCTTCGCTGCTTTACAGTGAACCATCACATCTAAAATCTAAAGTCTGGAAGACATTTGGATTCTGTAAGAAGGAAGGAAAGTTGGACAAAGGTCTGTCCAGCGGTAGTGCGACAGATCTTAACACTCACCTGGTGAGATGTCACAGTGACACCTGTGCAGGTGAGGAGGAGTCTGTGGATGCTAACACAGCTAGCAACAACACACAGATATTAAACACTGTCCAACCACAACTGAGCTCCAACCACTGCACTGAATTGTTCCAGATTAAAATGTCCCTGAATGGTATTGTAGTCCAAGTATCTGGATACGTATCGGATCGGAACCTAGAATCAAAACCAAACTAACTCCACTAAAAACCATACGGACAGGTGGACAGTTTGCGATGTGTTGGCGCGCTCCGGGTTCCCGTCAGCCTCCTGAATTAAAGCAGAAAACAAACAAAGACTCATTTGATGGATGCTTTACTGCCCCCCATTTTTTCTGACTGTCTATAATCTTCTGTGTCTGCATATTTTCTCTGTGCACATTACCCATCAGACTAAAAACAGGAACTATGAAAACCTCGATCAACAGAACTTTGACTTCAGGAGAACACCCAAGGTATAAACTTGCATGGTCAAATGATGCACGCCGCCCAACCAATCTCTGAGCTCGCCCGGTAGTAGCCAAACACCAGTCAGCCCCGCCCACCCAGAATCCAACCCGGCTCCAGAGATAGACTCTTATCCTGGTGGCACGTCTTTTCTCCACCATCTCTTTTCTTTCTTTTGATTTTTCATGATTCCTGCACACCGGGAATGGGTTTACACTCGCAGGAGAGACGCCCTTCCTCTTCCTCCCCTCCTCCCCCTCCTCTTCCTCCCTGTGAAGGGTTGCATGCAGCCAGGCTGAGGCTTGGCTCTGTCTGCAGATCTGAGGAACACCCGCCCACCAGGATCCTCTCACTCCTCTGCAACATCAAACCTCCTTTTCTTTTTCTTTTGGGAAATGAACCTCTTTCTCCTCCCCTTCCTCCTGCTCCTGTGCTCCCCGCCTCCCCTCCTCCTCCTCCTCCTCCTCCTCCTCCTCCTCTCTCTCTCTCTCTACCTTCTTTCCACTCAAATCTTTTTTTTAATTTGCGGTTGCATCAGCGCTCTCTAACATGCACGTCCCTGATTGGTTGGTTGGTTGGAGTCTTGAAAGCGCCTCAGTTTGCATGTGCCACCACACCACGCACAACTTTTTGCCCCTTCTTTGTATTCAAGCTTCGACTTTGAGTTTTCTTTCAGTTCAGCAGATCTTGAACACTTTTTGTGTCCATTTTTTGGCCCCTCCCCTCCTCCCGTGGTAGCGTGGGTGAGAGGGAGCATGGTCGAGGCTGGGGTCATGGGTGCAGGGTGTCGGGGCGGGACAGGGAGGGGACTCTGGCAGTTCAGAGCTAATAATGCGTGTCCTATGATGTGTTCTGTGGTGTTTTGTTCTGCCGTGTTTCTCAATGTCCTACGATGTGACCTGTCGCCCTGCGCGGTGGTACTCCAGGCGGAGAAGGTGCTGCTGTTCAGCCAGGACACCAACTTGACGTCTCTTCTGCTGGAGGCCAAAGATCTGGAGGCCCGAGTCATCATCCTCTCTGCCAGGTTGGTATAATGACTCAGGTCCTTTGGGTGGTTGCTAGGGGGTTTCCAGATCTTTGATAGCGTGTTTTGGCTAATTGCTATGGTGCTGTCAAGTGGATGCTAGGAGGTTGCAAAGCTGATCTTGGTGGTAGCTACCGTGTTACAAGGTGGTAGCTAAGCTGTTGCTAGTGTGTAGAAAAGAGGAATGCACCAGTCTGATCGGTATCCGATAACGACCAGAAGAAGAATGACCATAAACAGCAACTCAACCACCAAAACTCTTTACCACACCATACCGGTACCAGAATCCATAGTGCACTGATCCGATACCATGTTATTAATTAGCCCTGGAACGGGACCCTCCTACCTCCCAGCAGTGTCCTGTTTGCCATATTTTTTTCCGAAGATGGTGAAGTCATGACCTGCCCACTCTGACTGCAACAAAGGTTTCAACCGAGTGTGAACGTATCGTCACCCATCGGTTTGGGGTTTTTTGCAGACAGTGGAGGTGAGCTGCTCGTCTGTAGCAGGAAACAATGGCTGCTCACCTGGTCTTTACTAAATGAACATCATGCTGTATGGAAGAAGACTGAAACTAGAGACTGAGACCAGAAACTCATCAGGAAACTGTTTACTGAGCTCATACATCAACTTCATAAGACTCAATACTGTCAGAGTGGAGCTGCAGGTTTAACACAATGTCCATTATATTACAGTACAATACAACATCGTCCATAGTTCGAGTATCGGACTCTGTCTCAGGAAAAATGGTATCAGAACATCTCTGGTTAAATGCACAGCGACCGCTCTCTCCTGGTTGAAACCAGCTGAGATTGAATTTCAGAATAAGAATCAGAACCAGAAATACTTTATTGATCCCCGGGGGTAATTTGTTTAATTGAACTGTATTTTGCTGTTGGCTGATCTGGAGGCAGGTGACGTCACCAACCAACCCCTGCTTCTTTAAAACGTCTCCACTTTGCAGACTGTGGCGGCTACGTAGCCATTAGCCTGACACTAGCCACAAACACCGAACAGTTAGCCTCTCTGAGCCGCTAGCATAGCTAACGTTACAAACAGCGTGAATGTGCTTCTAGTGACTGTAAAAGCTCCAGATCGGCTCTGCAAACAGAGTCAGAGTCAGCTGCTCATGGCTGGTTAGCTCTGTTAGCTCTGTTAGCTCTGTTAGCCATGCTAACATCCACACCTGTTTACTGTCTGTGTGTTTGCAGTGAGGATGAAGCTGCAGCCGTGTATAAAGCAGCCCGGCAGCTCAACATGACCGGCGCCGGTTACGTCTGGCTGGTCGGAGAGAGAGAGATGACCGGCAAAGCTCTGAATGAAGCTCCAGATGGTACGTCAACCTCTGCCTCCTCTTCCTCTCCTCCCGTCTTCCTCCCTGGAGGTTTCTCTCTGTCTCTGTCTCTCAGCCCTGCTTCCATCCAACCATCAAGACAATTCTGTAAAATGAAAGTGAAAACATGTTTTCTATAAGTTAATGTGGAGTCACCAGACAGGTAGCAGATGAAGGAGCTGCTGTTTCTGTATCGGTTTGAACTGAACTCAGACGTATCAGGATGTTGCTGCACAGTGTTTGATGCTGACGCAGTTCACAGTGAACCTTTGCAATGTAAATGTTCCACTGAATGGAGGTAAAGAAATTATCTGCAGTCAGTGATTAAAGAAACTATAAAACTACGAACAGAGAAAACAGAATTTCTCTGTGCAAATTAAAACATTTGATAATATTTATTAGATATTATTGATTTTTCAAGTCCAATTTTCCAGTTGGTTGTTAGGGTGTGAGTTGGTTGCTAGGGTGTCAGTTGGTTTCTAGGGTGTCAGCTGGTTGTTAGGGTGTCAGTTGGTTGTTAGGGTGTCAGTTGGTTTGTAGGGTGTCAGTTGGTAGTTAGGGTGTCAGTTGGTAGTTAGGGTGTCAGTTGGTTGTTAGGGTGTCAGTTGGTTTGTAGGGTGTCAGTTGGTAGTTAGGGTGTCAGTTGGTTGTTAGGGTGTCAGTTAGTATCTAGGGTGTCAGTTGGTTACTTGGGTGTCAGTTGGTATCTAGGGTGTCAGTTAGTATCTAGGGTGTCAGTTAGTATCTAGGGTGTCAGTTGGTTACTAGGGTGTTCAGTTGGTATCTAGGGTGTCAGTTAGTATCTAGGGTGCCAGTTGGTATCTAGGGTGTCAGTTAGTATCTAGGGTGCCAGTTGGTATCTAGGGTGTCAGTTGGTTACTAGGGTGTTCAGTTGGTATCTAGGGTGTCAGTTAGTATCTAGGGTGCCAGTTGGTATCTAGGGTGTCAGTTGGTTACTAGGGTGTTCAGTTGGTATCTAGGGTGTCAGTTAGTATCTAGGGTGTCAGTTGGTTTCTAGGGTGTTCAGTTAGTTTCTAGGGTTTCAGTTGGTTTCTAGGGTGTTCAGTTGGTATCTAGGGAGTTCAGTTGGTTGCTAAGGTGTCAGTTGGTTGTTAGGGTGTTACTGGTTCCATTTAAGAGCATCAGCTGTTCAGCCAATCAACAAGCTCATGTGAGTCTAAAGACGACATCGTCTTCATTATGCTGCTGTACTATAACTGGATGGAAACATGGCTGCTCTCTCCCTCTGTCGGTCTCTCTCTCTCTCCCTCCCTTTAATGAAGGAAGCTACTCCTCCCACAGTTTCTCTCTCTTTCCCTCTGTCTGTCTGTCTCCCTCTCTCTCTCAATGTCTCCCTCCCTCTCTGTCCTTCTCTCCCTGTCTCTCTCTCTCTCCCTCCCTCCATCCCTCTCTGTCTCTCTCTCTCCCTCCCTCTCTGTCCCCCTCTCTCTCCCTCCCTCCCTGTAATGGAGGACCTCCTCCCACAGTCAGTTAGCTCCTCAGTGTGCTGGTGTTTCTCTGGTTCTGCTGGTTGAACGTTTAAACATCCAAAGAAAGAAGGCGGCCATGTTTAAAGGTTCCTAACCGCTGTTTGCTTCTGGCTCATTGTAACTGTGGCTTTAAATGTGTCTAACATCTTTTTGTTTGTTTCATCTATAGTGTGTGTCGTCCGCCCGCCCGTCTGCCCGTTCTCACAGTAGAAAGCCGCTATATGGGGGTGGGGGGGTGGTGGGGGGGTAACCTTTATTCAGGTGCGGTGAGGTGGGGGGGTGGGGGGGTTATTAACAGTTAGTGTTGCTGCGGTAACCGTGACGTGTGTCTGAAAGAACACTGGTAAGATGCCGCCGCTGCTTCCTGTTTCCTGCTTGATGCTTTGCCCTTTGCCATTGGTCAGTAGAGGCCCCGCCCACTGCAACATGGAGCCCGCCCTGCCAGGGAGGGGGCGGGGTTTATTCAATCAGCGATTACTCAGTCGGCCAGATGACTAAACACAATACGGTCGAAAGTGTGTGGATGCCCTCTTCAGTGGTTCCCAACCTGTTCCCTAAAGGAGCCTTTTTCTATCAGTGACTGTTTTATATTCTATATTCTATAGATCAATATATCATATATATATCAATAACAGCAGAGCAACTGAACAATAAACAATCTTCCCCACAAACAACACAAAAGCACATAAATTACAGTTTGTGATGAAATTATTATGACGCAAAGAACGCTTAAATAGAGCAAACAAAAATCAATCAGTGATCAATAAATCAATCTGATCATTTATAAGTGAGGACAAGGTTATTATCACTCAGATACTTTTATTGAACAGAATAGATTTTTGTCTGCTCAAACTACACTGTAAAAAAAGTCTTAAATTTACGGTTAAAAAATGGCAGCTGTGGCAAAACTTTACCGAATAAATACGGAAGAACCTTTTCTACTGTTACTGTATTATATATTATATTATTTTATTACTGAATTAATGTTTTTACCGTAAGAAAATACCATGTGAACACTATGTGCTCATTACGACTTTATTCCGTATAAATTCCTTTAAAATGCCGTATAAATAAATAAATAGATATCACAGAGTTTACTGTTACAGAAACTTTAACCTATCTGTAGTTTGTTACAGAAACTTTAACCTATCTTTAGTTTACTGTTACAGAAACTTTAACCTATCTGTAGTTTGTTACAGAAACTTTAACCTATCTGTAGTTTACTGTTACAGAAACTTTAACCTATCTTTAGTTTACTGTTACAGAAACTTTATCCTATCTTTAGTTTACTGTTACAGAAACTTTATCCTATCTTTAGTTTACTGTTATAGAAACTTTAACCTATCTTTAGTTTACTGTTATAGAAACTTTAACCTATCTGTAGTTTACTGTTACAGAAACTTTAACCTATCTTTAGTTTACTGTTATAGAAACTTTAACCTATCTTTAGTTTACTGTTATAGAAACTTTAACCTATCTTTAGTTTACTGTTATAGAAACTTTAACCTATCTGTAGTTTACTGTTATAGAAACTTTAACCTATCTTTAGTTTACTGTTATAGAAACTTTAACCTATCTTTAGTTTCCTGTTACAGAAACTTTAACCTATCTGTAGTTTACTGTTATAGAAACTTTAACCTATCTTTAGTTTCCTGTTACAGAAACTTTAACCTATCTGTAGTTTACTGTTATAGAAACTTTAACCTATCTGTAGTTTACTGTTATAGAAACTTTAACCTATCTTTAGTTTACTGTTATAGAAACTTTAACCTATCTAGAGTTTACTGTTACAGAAACTTTAACCTATCTGTAGTTTACTGTTACAGAAACTTTAACCTATCTTTAGTTTACTGTTATAGAAACTTTAACCTATCTTTAGTTTACTGTTATAGAAACTTTAACCTATCTGTAGTTTCCTGTCATGGTTTATAAAACCTACAGACAGTTTTTACAGTGTACCTGAGTCATTGTGTAGTAATGATTTCTCTACAGAATATTATTTATGAGCATTCAGACAGTCGTTTGTGTTTAATGGCGTATATGATCTATGAGCACAGACCTCCACTTCCTGTATGTGTTGTTGCACTGGCTGCTGGGTAATCGCCCCCCCGCTCTGTTGCCGTGGCGTTTTGTTTCAGAAAACATCCTCACCAACCAGCTGCTGCACTCTTAAAGATGATGTGTAATGTTTGTACACATCGCTCTCTCTCCTCCAGATGTGTCATGTGGAGCCGCACTAACCGACCCTCCACTGTTTGTCTCTGACGGAGAACTTTCAGGTTCCTTTTCAGGGAAATCGTTTCAGGTTGAAACCTCAACCAGATATTTTATAAAGCCACTGCTGCTATAGACAGATGAACAGGTTGAACAGTCATCATTAAGAAACGAGGAAGAGGAGGTTGACTCTTCTATTGTTCATCTGTTATAAGGTTATGGAGTCATATCAAAAACTGATTAAAGCCACTTAACATTTATTTTGAACTCACACCAGTAAACATTATTTTGGTGGTTCTGGATGAAAAAACCTCCTCAGTAAAGTAATAAAATTATTCTTTTAGGTAAAATATTTAAAGCTCAATCAACAACGAATCAGAATTTAAGTTTCTTTAAAAATAAACTGCAAAACCAATATCTAAAAAATGATTACATTAAACAGTTATGTTTCAGGGCTGAAACAGGAGAATGTCTCTGTCTGATCACCCTGTCCTCCAGAGGATGAACCATTAAGGGACCGTAAACGGGGCTGGAGGCGGAGGTCAGTTCCTGCTGTAAAGAATGACTGCATTAGACTGCACAGGTGTTCCCGTTATTGTGTCCACCCCCGTACCTGTGCAGAGGTTGTTTCTGAGACGATTCCCTGAAAAGAAACCCACGAAGCAGTACTGTGACATTGTGGATTTTGATGTTGTTTTTCTTCACCAGACACTTTTACACATTATGAGGAAAAAGTTTCTGCATCCGACGCTTCTGCTAACGGAGCAACAGTCTGCTAACACTGTTAGCATTCCTCACAGGAGATAACGAGCTCCGAGCTTCGGTTTCATTACAGACGCTGCAACCAGCAGTCTTTAATTAAAGAACCCAGCTCCATTACTTTCCCTCAGGAAGCTTCACTCACTGAATGCTTGAAATATTAGCTTGTTGTAGCCGTTAGCTTCACATTAAAGGTGTAAAGTTAGAGATTAATCTCCAACAGAGCTTCTCAAACACTCAGTTAGCAACGAAAGGAAGTTAGCTTGTTGTGGTGATTCCAGATAGAAATAGCTTCGCTAACTTTACTTTTAGGAGTAGTGGCTAGCTACCGAACGCTACAGCTTGTAGTTTTGTTGTTAGCTGTTGTTTGTTAGCTTTTAACTATTTTTGGTGGCAAATGTTAGCTAGCTGTACTCAGTGGTTTCAGTTGGAAATGCTAATAGTTGAAGCTAGCTGTTTGCAGTTATCTCTGTGGGGGAGGCTAACAGTGCTAGCCAGATGTTGTCGGTCAGCTGGAGGACAGATGTAAACACTCTTCGTCGCAGTGTGACGAGTTTCTGCTGAAGGAAAACACCAGACACAGTTCATAACGTCTCAGCGTCTGTGTCTGTGTCCTGAGAGACAAACGGCTGTGAACTCCCAGCATGCAGTTTGGTATTACTGAACACTGACCTGACGCCTGAAGCCCTGAGTGTGTGTGTGTGTGTGTGTGTGTGTGTGTGTGTGTGAATGACACTGAAGCACTCTCTTAGTTACATCTGTAAAATTAATTTAAAGTGTGTGTGAGTTTATAATTAACACGTCTGTGTGAATGAGGGCAGTGTCAGCCTGAGTAACTTCCTGCTGTGTGTGTAACCTCTGTGTGTGTGTGTGTGTGTGTGTGTGTGTGTGTGTGTGTGTGTGTGTGTGTGTGTTTCAGGCCTGTTGGCCCTCCAGCTGATTAACGGTAAAAACGAGTCGGCGCACATCACGGACGCCGTGGCGGTGGTGGCTCAGTCTCTGCAGGAGCTGTTTGAGAAGGAGAACATCACGGAGCCTCCGCGGGGCTGCGTGGGAAACACCAACATCTGGAGGACGGGGCCGCTCTTCAAACGGTCAGTACCTCCACCGACAGGGGTCAGAGGTCAACCTGGATCAGTACCTCCGCCGACAGGGGTCAGAGGTCAACCTGAAAAGATTTCAGTAGAGTTAAAGGACCAATGTGTATGCTGTAATATTCTGGCAGCTGGAAGCTAAAGAAATACAGTGAGATAATAATACTAATAATAACTGACTAAAATACAGTTTTTAGCTTTAATTTGTCTTTTTAATGTTTAATCAAAGATATTTACACTGTAAAAACAGTTAAATGAGCTATAAATACTATAATATAAATAATCAGTTTATTTTTTCACATTATTTTACATTATACTTTTGATTCAGAGGCTGTTTTTGTGATTTAATTACATTACATGTATTTTTTTTTAAACCTAAAGATGTGTTTAACATTGTAGGATTTAGTGACATCCAGTGATAAAGTTGCAGATTACAACCAACTGAATACTGCTCGTCTAGTGTATTGGAGAAACTAGGGCGGCCATGAACACAACTGATTTTAATATCAGGTGATTAAACACTAATGAAAACATACCTATGGATATTATATGATACTAATGTGACACACTGGTTAACACATGGAAGAGGTATAAAATATGTGAGTAGATCTGCCGGTGAAACAGCAGTTGGAGCTTCTGTTACGTATTTCTGAGATAATCTACAGGGATTTAATCTGATTGTTTAAAGTGTCTGTGGCTCAGCGAGCTGTTTGGTCTGTTGAAGCTTTTGTTTCAGTGTTTTTGGGGCTTTGATTCAGTAGCAACAGCAGACAGGTGACATGCAACAGAGGTCCCTCGGCTGGAGGGTGTAGAGATATGGAGATATTGATTAGTGAAGCACAATTACAGCTGATATGATAATGGTTTTAAGACCTTCATCTTTCAGCTGTCATGGTGCATAAACCTCAATAATCCATTCATTAGTGTTAGCTGATACCTGTCTTATTAAAGGAATAACTGCCTAATTAACCAATCAGTGCCAGCCCACACCGATTGGTCGGACTGTCAGTCAGCAGTGGCTCCGCTCCGATGAGCTGCTGTGTCACATTTTACACATTAAACAGTAAAAACTGGAAATGAAGAAATGTTGTGGCAGCAGAGGACACGAGGAGCAGCTGATGAGGATGAGTCGTCAATAATATTCTTATGTTTTAGTAAAGGAAGAGAAAAGGCCGAGGCACTACTGCTTTGGTCCACAGGGGGCGCCAGATAAACAAGAGAAACAGAGAAAGTTATAAAATAGAACAAAATAAAGTAGCAGTAAAGGAAAACAAGATTATATTTATAAGATATAAAAATGTGCAGAAATATGAAATAGGCAAGATATTATTATTATTAGAGGAGAATATAAATACTATAAGTTGAACGTCGAGATAAAACATGATTCAAACATGGTAAATATATCATTATTATTTTACCGGCTCTATAGAGCAGTTGGGTTTGTCATGAAAGGCTAGCATGCTAAGCTAATAATGGCCGGTGGTTTATGTGTGTAACAACTTCAGAGGATCCCTGCAGTCCGTTTACAGACTCTGATCTTACAGAGCCTCAGTGATCTGATCTGGATCCAGCTTCAATGTGGTCTGACAGAACTGGGATAAAACCCTCTCTGTCACTGTGTGACCCACATACACCCTCCCACCCTGCAGGCATTATATTAATGTTTCTCTATCTGCACATTGTACATATCTTTCCTGTAGTTTAGATCTTTCTATCTTTATCTTTATTTATTTATATTTTTACTTTATTTGTGTGATTTTTATGCACCAAGACAAATTCTTTGTACGTGTAAAAACTTGGCAATAAACACAATTGTGATTCTGATTCACCATCAAGTCCACTTACATCAGGTTTATCTCTGAGGTCACAGGCAGCAGCATCATGTGACCTGTTGTCTGATTGGCTCTCCAGGGTGCTGATGTCATCCAAGTACCCCGACGGTCTGACGGGACGGATCGAGTTTAACGACGATGGTGACCGGCGCTTCGCCACCTACAGCATCCTGAACTACCAACAGAAACCGGGTCGCCTCGTCCAGGTCGGAGTCTTCAACGGATCACAGGTACAGTACACCCGGACACACCTGCACACACCTGCACACACCTGCACACAACTGGATACACCTGCACACACCTGGTCGCACAAAGAGACAGCATAACAACCTGTGTGTGTGTTTCAGGTGGTGATGAACCCTCAGAGGAAGATCATCTGGCCCGGAGGAGAGACCGAGAAACCAGTTGGATACCAGATGTCGACTAAACTGAAGGTACAGATACTACAGCTGCAGTACTACAGATACTGATAGAACCAGCATGGTCCAGACACGGAGAGAGAAAAGAGAGTGTGGCTTGAGCAGGAGGCTTGGACCCCGTTAATACCTGCTTGCTGGATGAGTTTGCTCTTGTCTCTAAACTCCTGCACTCACACACAGTGACAGAGAGTTAATAAAGGAGCACCAAACCTTTACAAGTAATTCACCTGAACTCCTGTGGCATTAACAGCAGACTGCCCCGTATGGCACGGTACCACTGTCCCGGTACTGCTGTGCCTGGTATCACTGTGTGTCACCAGGATCAGTCTTCTCTGCTCATTTCTAATCACAGAGCTGATCTTTATAACAACCTCATTATGTGTTCATGGATCAGCTGATTGTCGATTCTTCTACAACAATAAAGTTAAAAAGGAGGAGGAGCTTCATCCTGCCACATCCAGCTGTTTCCTATCCCATTCCTATATCCTACAGCTTTAAAGCACTCCGCTCACATTCCCCAGGAGGTAGCACAGTTGTATAAAGTCAGTGTGGAAATCTATAAAAGCTGCTGTTACAGTGTGTGTGTGTGTGTGTGTGTGTGTGTGCGTGTGCGTGTGCGTGTGTGTGTGTGTGTGTGTGTGTAGATTGTGACCATCCATCAGGAGCCGTTTGTTTACGTGAAACCAACAAAGACTGACGGGACGTGTAAAGAGGAGCACACCGTTAACGGAGTCTTAATCAAGAAGGTGATCTGTACTGGACCCAACGCGACCATCCCAGGTACACACACACACACACACGCACACAAACATACACACACACACACACACACACACACACACACACACACACGCACACGCACACACACAGGAAGTGGCTGATGGGTGTGTGTGTGTGTGTCTCCAGGTCAGCCCATCGTCCCTCAGTGTTGTTACGGGTTCTGTATCGACCTGCTCATCAAGCTGGCGATGAGCATGAACTTCACCTACGAGGTTCACCTGGTGGCTGATGGGAAATTTGGCACGCAGGAGCGAGTGAGTATTTCTGTGTCTGTGTGTGTCACTGGACCTTTACTAGGCCACGCCCCTTTCTGCTCTGGGCTCCAATCACAGAACCTCAACTTCCTCCTTTCCTATACGCTATGCTATGCTATGCTAGCGTTCCCATGTGTCCTGGAAAACCTGGAAATTTAGAGACTAGTTTTCCAGTCAAACACCTGGAAATGGATTCAGATGAGTCGAGCTGACAGTTGGTAGCTGAGATATAATATATAAGATATAAAGATATAAAACAACAACAACTCAATAGACAAACATCTTACAAACATCCTGAATGATGAAGAGGAGAGAGAGAGATCCATAAACCCACAGGAATAAATAACGCTGATAGAAACAATTTATTGATGAAATAAAAACACAATAAAACAAGATCACCGTGGTTCCTGTACTGTGACTCACTCTGATGATGTCACTGCGAGGGGCGGGGTTTGTGCGTTTCCAGTCAGCGATGAGGAGTCTGTAACCTTCCTCACATCAGAAATGTCTGATTTGACCTCTGACTGGAGCTCTTTTAATGACCTCGTCATCTCGCTGTCGTCGAGAAGTCAGCGAGAATTAGCGCGACCCGGCAGTTTACCTCCACCAAACAAACAAACCAACAAACAAACAAACAAACAAACAAATTGATGTACATTCTGTTAATATCTGAGCCCCTGATGAAGTCTCTCTGTGTCTCTGACCTGTTTACTGATTCAACACCAGTACATCGCTGAGGCTTGTTGCCATGGCGACCACCGCTCCGTCCCTGACTCTGACCTTGTTGAGGCTAAGAGACATTTAGTCCTTACTCTCTCTCTCTCTCTCTCTCTCTCTCTCTCTCTCTCTCTCTGCTGCTTTCTTCGCTGCTCCAAATGACACAGTCTCTTCTCTCACCTCCTCCATCACCTCCTGTCCTCCATTTTTATTCCCTCCAGTCTGTCTGCTGTCTGTGCTTCCTCCTCCTCCTCCTCCTTTCTCCCCTCTCCTCTCTCTTTAAAGATTTATTTATAGTTGGAATATCTTTTGCTGAAAGATAAAATGACTCCGATAAAAGATCAGTGTTTTTATTCGTTCTCTCCTCTGCAGTTACTCGTCTTTATTACAATCAGATGAATTTATCGGCAGAGGTTGTGGTTGTTCAGTTTGTGACAGTTTGACACTTTTATGTTTCTAATTTTTATTATTTGGTTGCGAGGCTTTCTTGATTTTATTGATTCAGGCGTGCTAGAAAACGTACACACAGTTAGCCTAAATCTCACCATAGTGAAGTCATTTTTAAAGTGAATATTATTACTATTTAAGATGTAAAGGTTGAAGCTGTGAACACAGTGTATATTATTATTATTATTATTATTGATCACAGTGTTCAGTGACAGAGCTTCAGTCTCTGATCAACAGCCTCGTCCTGCAGCAGAAAGCAATCAGCTGATAGATCAATAAACAGTGAATCTGTCAGAAATAAGAATATTAAGTCTGATTGTTAAAATGATATAAATACAGAATACAGACAGAGAATGGATGAAAAGTTGTTAAAATATCAGGAAAATCTGGTGTTATACAGAAACCACTGCAGTAGGTGACCATCTGTACTGTTACTGTGATATATACATCCATACATCGGGATAAAGAATCTTGTTATTGTTTAAACACTGACCACATTACAGTCTGTGCACAGCCAGGATCTCCCTGACCTCCTCTGTCCTCCTGCAGGTGAATAACAGCAACAAGAAGGAGTGGAACGGGATGATGGGGGAGCTGCTGGGAGGTCTTGCCGACATGATCGTCGCTCCCCTCACCATCAACAATGAGCGTGCTCAGTACATCGAGTTCTCCAAACCATTCAAGTACCAGGGGCTCACCATCCTCGTCAAGAAGGTACCACGACTCTCTGGTTCTGCTTCACTTCCTACAGTTTGAGTTCCTGGACCTACATTTGGGCTCAAAGCAGTGGATGAGTTGGTAAACGTGTCGTAGTAGTAGTAGTTTTACAGTCATCGAAACACTAGGGAATTGGTTAAAATTACTAAAAACCCTTAAAATAATTTATGTTTAATTCTAAACTAATTCTAACTGTATTTTAACCCCTCACCAAGATTGTAAACTTAGATGCAAATTTAGTTTGAATCTCGACCGTTGGTTGGATAATCTTTGTGCTGTGACAGGTTTATCAGACCACTGTTTTTGTCGTCAAGTCGTTGATCTTACGGTTAGAGGAAAACTGTACCAAACTGTGGTTAACTCCCTGGACTCTGCAGCTCCACTCCAGCGAGCTAACAGTGTGTCCAATAACTGCTCAGCACCTACCTGTAACTCTGGCTGACGTACCAGTAAATGATTTGTGTGCAAGTGCTGAAAACTGCTGGAAAATGTTTTGGAAAACCCTGTAACAAACACAGCAGCATGAAGCATCAGTATAAGGACAGCCAGAGAGGGTTCAGAGGGAGCTGCAGTCAGAGACACAAACACACGGAGCAGGAAACTAAACGTTAGTCCAGATAAAGCAGAAAAGGCCACATTTTAGTAAGTGGTAGAACTGATCAGGGATCAGATAAATGACCGAAGATGTGTTCAGATCATCAGTGAGTGGATCGATTACACCTTTTAAAGATCAGACAGACAAATAAAGTGACTGAAGTTGAGTCATTGGGTCTTCCTTCAGAGGGAACTCATTTCAGCCGCTTGTATTAGTGATCCATCAAGTCTGGTACAAAATCTGCCAGGTTTACCACCTGCAGCAGAGGAGAGAGTCCATTGTTCTCAGTGTGATGGAGTCAGACTGACCTGGTGTCTGTCTCACCGCTCTGAAGGATATTTTGGGATATTTTTGGTCAGTGACCCAGTTCACAGCCAGCGATCGGCTCCACCGCAGCAGGAAGCAGGTCGATAGTTTCCATCGACCCTCCGGCGGCGTCACACCGCCTCAACACGTCTGATCCAGGGTCAGATCTGTAGCCCCAGCTGATCATAACAGTGTTATTCTGGATCAGATGGACAGAATGAATTCCCTCCGACTGTTCAGCTACATATAAAAGGGTTTAACGCTGCTTTCATTGACAGATCTTAGATCAGTGGACAGTGGCTTGAGCTGAACATCATATCGAGTTGTAGTTTTAGATAAGATAAGAGGTTTTGTCACATGCACAGTTATACATAGTACAATGCACAGTGAAATGCATTCTTTGTACCTGCAGCCAGTAGAAAAGAAAAACAAAATACTACTACAGTGAAACAGTAGTGATTGCACATAACACACAAGGTAAACAATATAAGTGTAAATATAAAACTAAGAAAAAAATAAAACTAAATATAGACTGTAATATAACATATAAAATATAGACTGTAATATAACATATAAAATATAGACTGTAATATAACATATAAAATATAGACTGTAGACTCTTATATGTTATATTACAGTCTATATTTTATTTTATTTTTAACCCGATATTAACGTCATATCGGGTTGTAGTTTTGGGGATTTATTAGTGTGTTTATAGATTTAATTTAAAGGTCTACAGGGCACAAAGACAAAGAACTGCTGTTTAAAAAGGACTACAGACTGGGACCAGAACCAACTGATTAACCTCCATTTTAAGGCTCAGTCACAGCTGATGAATCTCTCTGGGCCATTCTCATTTCTCTGATTTGTGCCTCCTCTCTCCTCCGTCCTCCTGTCTGTGACCCTGACATCAATCTCAGAGCGCCATCTAGAAGGACGTCTCAGTTCCTAAACTATATCTGGAGGACAGAGGACTTTGTGTAGGGCTGGGGGTAAACGATTATTTATTAAACGATTAATCTGGCGATTATTTTATCGATTAGTCGACTAATCTAACGACTAACTGGACGATTAACGTGAGTTAGCTAACGTTAAACAGATAACGTTAAAAGCTACTGCAATCCTCTTGCTACCGTTAGCTAGATCTAGCAGCTGTGCACTTTGGTGGTGCTAGGCTAACCAACGCATCTTAGCTCTCTCTCTGAAACGGAGGCACCTCTTTGCCACTCGCGAAGGAGACAACAACCACCAACGCTGGCCAAATCAATCTCATGCCCGGGCTCCACGCACCCCGGTGGCGCCAGCCAACCACCGCTGCCCCCCGCGCAGCCCGCCTGCAGCAGGCCAGCAGCCAAAGCCCACGCCAGCCAACGTTAGCTACTATAGACAGCTGTGTTCTGCAGCCGTAAGCCAGATACCATTCAAGCCAACATTAGATGATAACTAACGTTAGTTAAACACAGCTGTCTAGGCGCCAGTAGCTAGCCAACGTTAACATTAGCCACCAACCCAGCACGAACAAACCGCACGGAGAGCCAAGACAGCTAGTCAGCACCACTGAAGTGTGCAGAGCCCGAGCCACACAACACACCACACAAACATGAAACCAACCCAGCCAACGCCAGCACCCACCTGCCACCGTCTCCTCCACGAGCGACAACGGGGCGCCGCCGCCACAGATGCTCCCACATTGCCAAATGGAGTTGGCATACCACACCAGCACCACAGCAAAGAGCGCCAATAACCACACCTTCACGTTTGGGACTAAATTTGAAGTATTCTCATACCTTCGATGATACCTTTTTCTTTTATTGGGGCTTTTATTGGGAATTCTGTGAGGACGTTGCTGTTCCGTCCTCCATTCTGCAATGTTTTGGTCTCCCGTGTGTGTGTGTAGAGCTGTGACAAAGCGTCGACGCAAAAATTTGACGGCAACGTATTTTTGACGATGACGTCGACGGGTCGCTACAGGCCTACCTTTGTGGAGCTCTTTTCTGTCCTGTATTGACAGTCAGACTGTGGACATATGACGGCCTTTAGCTCGTGTTTCTAGAGTTACGTGTTGTTACGAACACGTCAGGAATTGTTAAAATGTGATATTTCTTAAAGGGAGTTTGGTTTATTATTTTCCCTGAAAGTACAGACACAAACTTATATATATATTATAAATATGCAATAAGCTGAGATTTATAGTGAAACAGCAGCTTTATTGATCATGATTGATTGCCTCCAACTGTTGTCCATTATAATGATGATGATGATGATGATGTGTTTGTGTGTTTAGGAAATCCCTCGCAGCACTCTGGATTCATTCATGCAACCGTTCCAGAGTACACTGTGGCTGTTAGTCGGTCTGTCGGTCCACGTGGTGGCAGTGATGCTTTACCTATTAGACCGGTTCAGGTAAGCACACCATATAATACAATACATATAATAGAATACAGCACAGTACGATACCACACGTGTGATCATATGGCGTCATTGATGCTTCAGCTAATACTGGATGAACATGTTGGGTTGTTGCTTTCAGTATAAAACCAGAGCAGTGTGTATTTTCACCTGTAGTCATTTAATATACAGATTAGAACCATTTTGATTTGGAGTGGCAAGTCCATCCAGGAAGTTGTGATCACAACAATTAACACAATAAATCTTGAATTTGTGCGACCTTGAAATTTGACCAGTATGACCAATCATAGCAGTACACTGCACCAAACTAACTAGAGATTGTCTACTCACTGGAACAAGTTGCCTTCAACTTTAAATTAATACAAAAAAATAGCAACCATTTTTAAAATTTTCACACTTAATGCTTTAAAACATCGCAGCATGCATCACAACGTTTTCGAAAGGCTGCTGTAAAATCAGAAATTTTAGGTCACAATCTCAGTGTGTAATCCTGAGGGACGGTAAGTTATTGTTAATGTCTGCCACCGGGTCAAAGTTGGCCATGGCTTGCTCAACTGTTATTGGAGCAGAGCAAAAAGAGGCGGGGCTTAGGAAGAGTGAATTACAGCAACCAGAAGTTGCAGTTTGTTTGAAGACCATAAAAACATACCAGCACAGTATAATGATATATATATATATGTATATATATATATATATATATATATAATGATATGTAACGACAAATTTGTGTGCCTGCAGCCCGTTTGGAAGGTTTAAAGTAAATAGTGAAGAAGAAGAAGAAGACGCCCTCACCCTGTCCTCCGCCATGTGGTTCTCATGGGGAGTACTGCTGAACTCTGGGATAGGAGAAGGTTGGTGTTCCTCCAGTCTGACACATCCTACAGTCCCACTGACTGCACAGACAGTAACAACCTCTGTCTGTCTGCCTGTCTGCCTGCCTGTCTGCCTGTCTGTCTGTCTGTCTGTCTGTCTGTAGGAGCTCCCAGGAGTTTCTCAGCCAGGATTCTGGGTATGGTGTGGGCAGGTTTTGCTATGATCATTGTAGCATCGTATACTGCCAACCTGGCAGCCTTCCTTGTGTTGGACCGGCCTGAGGAGCGCATCACTGGCATCAATGACCCCAGGGTGAGACACTGTCAACGCTCTGCTTTATTCTGTTGGAGATTATCAACTCTTATTATTTTCAGACTCATTATCAGATTATTCTGTGCGCTACCTTTCAGGTCTCATCGTCTACTCCATCTTTTATTCTTCCACTGTTACCAAATGAATCAAGAAAAATGTAAACAACAGGTGTTAATCCAAGAGACATTTTATAATATAATCAAATAATTAAAAGCAAAGTAAATGGATGAATACTGGGAATATGTGATGGTGAGGAGTCTGTCCTGGTCTGATGAGTATGCACTGAGTAGATGAGAGATGGGTGAAATAATAACGTAATAAAGGAATTAACAGGGTTCATTTGAAGACTAAGAACTGATATCTAGCGTTGCCTGAGTTTATTTACCTTGAAGGTCAGAGAGGATCGAACATGGAGATGGAAGAAGACGAGAAGAGACCACAGGAGACATGGACGCTTCCGAGTTAATTTCTCTGCTGTATTTGTTGTTTTTAGCTGCGTAACCCATCAGATAAGTTCATCTACGCCACAGTGAAGCAGAGTTCGGTGGATATCTACTTCAGACGGCAGGTGGAGCTGAGTACCATGTACCGGCACATGGAGAAACACAACTACGAGAGCGCTGCTGAGGCCATCCAGGCCGTCAGAGACAAGTAGGCTATTTAAACAGTTAGCAACCCCAAAATATATTCCTGGAGTTAGTCGATGTACCTCAGAGATGCAATGTGATACTGTAGACTGGTACGGTCCACCTGCATCTATTGATCTCCACCTCCCACATACTTAATGTCCCCCCTCCTCCCGCAGTAAGCTTCATGCCTTCATCTGGGACAGCGCTGTGTTGGAGTTCGAGGCATCGCAGAAGTGCGATCTGGTGACGACAGGAGAGCTTTTCTTCCGCTCTGGATTCGGAATTGGAATGAGGAAAGACAGTCCATGGAAACAGAACGTTTCTCTGGCTATTCTCAGGTAACAAATACCCTCATGATGATACCCTACTGGTACCCTGCTGATATCCTGCTGATGTCCTTCTGATACCCTTCTGATAGCCTGCTGATACCCTACTGGTACCTTTCTGATTCCCTTCTGATATCCTGCCGATGCCCTTCTGATACCCTGCTGATACCCTTCTGATACCCTGCTGATACCCTTCTGATACCCTGCTGATAACTTTCTGATACCTTTCTGATACCCTTCTGATACCCTGCTGATAACTTTCTGATACCTTTCTGATACCCTTCTGATACCCTGCTGATAACTTTCTGATACCTTTCTGATACCTTTCTGATACCCTGCTGATACCCTTCTGATACCTTTCTGATACCTTTCTACGGGTATCAGAAGGGTATCGGTGTGTGTTGATATGTGTTGATAATACATTTCGTTGTCTCTTCTCAGCTCTCATGAGAATGGCTTCATGGAGGACCTGGATAAGACGTGGGTTCGATACCAGGAGTGTGACTCCAGGAGCAACGCCCCCGCTACCCTCACCTTCGAGAACATGGCAGGTAGGAAACAGACCTACAGACTAAAACCGTCTGTACGAATACGTAAGATGATGGTTGGCTTTCAGATTTCAGGGTTTCCACTGAGGTCACTGAGGATTTTAAGCTAACCATTAAAATTCATTAAAAAGTACTAAAATTATTTATGTCAGGTTTTGCTTTAGATGAATGAATTGTTCTCATTTCACATAATGCTTTCATAACTCTGGAACACAGCTGCTGTAATGAAGAAGAAAGGGTATTCAATTGTCCATGTTGACATCTAAAAAGCTTTAAATGTAATTTGACAAAGAGTCTGTCACCTCACCTGTCCTCACCTGTCCTCCTCAGGTGTGTTCATGCTGGTTGCCGGTGGCATCGTTGCCGGGATCTTCCTCATCTTTATTGAGATCGCCTACAAACGACACAAAGACGCTCGAAGGAAACAGATGCAACTCGCCTTCGCTGCCGTGAACGTCTGGAGGAAGAACCTACAGGTACCAGACTTTACTTTACTTTACTTTACTTTACTCTATCGTACTCTAACTGAACTCTACTGTAAGCTCGTGCGTACACTGATTCTAACCTGCTCGGCTCATTTTTCTGCTGCTGTTGCTTTTATGTTATTTTACTTCCCAGGGACAAAAACTCCCTTGAACCTTTGTTAGTATTTATCGATGGATGAAGGGTCTTCAGTATCTGAATGTTTCAACCATCATGTTTACCACCATGAACCTGTCGTTACTGCTCGTAATAACCATCGCTGTAACTGTAGGCAGCTGAAAGGTTGAAGGATGAAGGGTTAAGGTTAAAGTTTATGTTGTTGTGAGTTTAGTTTGAGCAGTGGAGGGAAGAACATTCAAACACACCAACGTGCTGATCTGTTGATCTGGCTGGAGCTGGTTTGGACTATAAAAACAGGATTTATAATGCGAACGGAGCTGATCTGATGCCAGCTGGTTTACTCTCACCTCTGGATAAAGTGATGAGTACATCAGCTTTATAGGACCCACAGCAGAGCCTTTAGCAGACTGCCTTCATTTTAATACCCAGCTCTATAAATTAATACAATAAAATACATTAACTCCAAACAGTGCAGTTACAGCTCAACCCTGCCTTAAAAAACAACCATATAAAACTTTCCATCATCGATTAGCTGCTGATTGTTTTCTTGATTAATAATTTGGTCTGTAGAGAGTCAGTAAATATAAAGTAATGACTGAAGACGAAGCTGTCACTGTTTTGTCCAGAGATGACTATATAAAGATACTCAGTTTACTGTCACATAAGACAAAGAGAAGCTGAAATGTTTGATGCTTTTGATGGAAAAATAATTAAAACAATTATTGGATTATTATAATAGTGGCTGATCATTTTCTGTCTCTCGACTAATCGATTAATCAAACAATCATTTCAGCTCCAATTAACTCGAATAAGAGTTCAAAATGTGTCTGAATAAATACAGAATAAGATACCTGGACTTCCCTTAGCAGTGACTCAAACAACAAACTGCATCTTATTAATAATAATAATAATAATAATATTTCCTCTTCAGCTAAGAACTAAAAGCTAAACTAGAAACTAAACAAGATTATGAATTACTTTTAAATTATTCAGTTCATTTGATTTAAATAATACAAACCAGACTTTATCTAATTATATCAGAAAAAAACAAACGACGACTTTTCTGGACATAATAAAAGAGAGATATCTGAATAATTCAAATATTGTCTCTCAAACCTGAGTCCTGTCTCATAAAGTCTCAGTAACAAAACCTGCAGAAAAAAACATCGTCATCGACACAGAGAGGTTCACTGAAGCATGATGGGAAAACCAACATTAGGCGTTTTTCCAGGCCGCCTGTGGAGTCAGAGGACTGCCAGAGTCCGCAGGGATTCAGTCCGTCAGCTGGCGTCACAACAACAACAACAAATGTCGGCGATAAAGAGTCTCTGAACACACACAGTCCGGAGTTATTAACCTCTTCCACAAACATTAATATCCACCAGGTTTCAGCTGCAGGGAAACACAGTGACAGCAGGGGATTTAATGGTTATTTTCTGCATTATATCAATGTAGCAAATAATTTAATATTTTATTAAATTTATACTGGAAAATCGTTTTTATCATTATATTCTATTTTTGATCGTAGTATTGTTTATTAACTGCACTAAACTGTATGCAAGGTGCTATAATAATAAAGTTGAGGCTGAATTTAAAAACTGAACCAGTTCTGTTATAAACTGTTAACACAACAAACACAAATAGAATGAAGACAGAAATCAGTGTTATTCATGAAACTGGATCCTGCTGCTGCGTTTGAGTTCATTCTGCTGTTTTTAGGAGAATAATAAAGTCATATGAATATTTAATTATAAACGTCTTTACATTTATAATGCAGCAGCTTCCAGCTCTTCATAAACATGCAGTATAATGTCAGCGTACATAAACGTACAGATGTGCCTCATCTATATGGATGAGTCAGAGGTCACTGATCTCAGATCTGCTGACAAACACAGACTCACAGACTCAGTTCTGGGCTTCAGATCAAAGTTTAATGTGTTCTGTTGTTGGTCTGAGATCAGTTATAAACACCCAGAGGGCACACAGACAGAGCTGCTATACACTACACGGATACTGAATACTACAGTACACTGTGGTACCACACAGTACCACAGTGTACTACACAGTACCAAAGTGTACTACACAGTACCACACAGTACCACAGTGTACTACACAGTACCATACAGTATACTACACACAGTACCACACAGTACCATACAGTACCACAGTGTACTACACAGTACCACACAGTACCATACTGTACCACACAGTACCGCACAGTACCGCACAGTACCACACAGTACCATACAGTACCGCACAGTACCACACAGTACCAAAGTGTACTACACAGTACCACACAGTACCATACAGTACCACACAGTACCACACAGTACCGCACAGTACCACACAGTACCACACAGTACCACACAGTACCGCACAGTACCGCACAGTACCACAGTGTACTACACAGTACCACAGTGTACTACACAGTACCACACAGTACCACACAGTACCACAGTGTACTACACAGTACCATACAGTACCACAGTGTACTACACAGTACCACACAGTACCATACAGTACCACAGTGTACTACACAGTACCACACAGTACCACACAGTACCACAGTGTACTACACAGTACCACACAGTACCACAGTGTACTACACAGTACCACACAGTACCATACAGTACCACAGTGTACTACACAGTACCACACAGTACCATACAGTACCATACAGTACCACAGTGTACCACACAGTACCACACAGTACCATACAGTACCACACAGTACCACAGTGTACCACACAGTACCACACAGTACCACACAGTACCACACAGTACCATACAGTACCACACAGTACCACACAGTACCGCACAGTACCACACAGTACCGCACAGTACCACACAGTACCACAGTGTACTACACAGTACCATACAGTACCACAGTGTACTACACAGTACCACAGAGTACAACACAGTACCACAGTGTACTACACAGTACCACACTGTACCACAGTGTACTACACAGTACCACAGTGTACAACACAGTACCACACAGTACCACACAGTACCACAGTGACCAACACACACAGTACCACACAGTACCACACAGTACCACAGTGTACTACACAGTACCACACAGTACCACAGTGTACTACACAGTACCACACAGTACCACAGTGTACCACCCAGTAGTTGTAGTATTCAGTATCTGTACAGAGTGTGTATGAAGCTTCTCTTGAGTTAAAACCTGATGCTGACATTGAGCTGATTCACTCACCTGAGCGATGATGTCACTGTGTGGTCACTGCGTATTGGCTGCCAGCAGACGACCTTCTGTCTCCTTGAGAATAACTGCGAGTCATTAAAGCGCCTGCTGCAGCTTCAGAGCTCATAAAAGATCCATTGAGACTTTATTGTTGTCTGTGGGCAGAGGTCCCCTCTCTGAGACAGCGAGGCCTCGGGATCTGATCACAACTACCACAGACCTTCTTATTGTTCTTCATTATGAGCGAGGCTCTGAGTTCCTCTGCTGAGTGAACAGCAGCAGTGTGTTTGGTGTAAATATGGAACATTAACAGGAACATATATTACATATATGTATATATATTCCTTCCAGATGTTCTGCAGCCTCGTCAGCAGCTGGACTCAAACGCATTAATAATCATCTCTTCTCTGCCGGGATTAGCACTTCAAACGGTAGCCGCTACAGGCTAGCAGCTAGCAGAGGATGATTAGCACTTCAAACAGCTGTGTCTTAAGGCGAGGAGTTAGCGGAGGGGGATTAGCACATAAAACACAGAGACAGGAAACCAGACAGATCAACAGATTCACAGAGAGGTGAGACAGGGACAGATCACACTGAAATAATGATACAAATATGTTTTTATAATAATGTGCAGATTGTATTCTGGAGGTAGAAGCTGAATGAAGCCTCGCTCTCCTCCTTAATGTAACTCATCGTTCAGGACTCAGAGAGTGGAGAGGAGGCAAAGACACTGCAGGAGGTGGATTACAGTCAGACATCAGGACTGTGGCAGTGGCTGCGAAACTCTGCTACTGTAGAAACATGGTGGCTCAACATGGCGGACTCCGCCAGAGGAGGAGCGGCTTCCTCTGTAGATAAAAACAGTTCTTATTTTATATTATTGTACACTAATGAAAATATACCTATGAATTATATTCTATTTCCATAATAGAGATTTTTCACATCCAAACAGTAAGAAAACAGGTAGTGTGATGAAGTTGTGAAGCAGCGTGGGATCATGGGAGTTGTTGTCTTCACCACCATTGCAGTCAGCTTCTCCCGGTTAGGATTCCTTCAGTGTTCATGGTTCAGGAGGTTTCTACCGGGAGCCCAATGATCCACAGAGGTCTCCTCCTCTCCAACACAAACAGACCCGCTGATTAAAACCACTAAACACACTGAATAAAGCAGTTCCACCTTAAACACACTGAATAAAGCAGTTCCACCTTAAACACACTGAATAAAGCAGTTCCACCTTAAACACACTGAATAAAGCAGTTCCACCTTAAACACACTGAATAAAGCAGTTCCACCTTAACAATGTTAATTATCTTGTTTCTCTGATAACTTAAGATCCAGACGTCCGATGACTAAAATCCTTCATCCGGTTCAAATCTAGAGTTAAAAAGCACCAAGATCTAAACAGTGGATGGTAAACAGTCAGTGTGTGACAGCTTCTGATTATTGATTATTGATTGAATCAGCTCCATATAGGACCCAGCTCTAGAGTTTATTCCCTGTTTATTGATTATAGATTTGATGAAAGGTGTCAGTGTGCTGTATCTCTCTGTAGATATCTTCCCACTGCAGCTGCTGAAGGTTTGGGAGGGTTAAACCGATGTGAGTGATTGCTGGTGTTCAGTTCCCGGTGAGGACCAGGATCAGGGTTTCAGGTCTGCAGGGCAGTGTTCATGGTGTTCTCTTTATTTTCCACTGATGATCAAAGTCTTCCGCTGCTCTGTCGCTGCTGACAGACTTTAATGTTTCACCGATGTAGAAATGGATCCAGGAATGTGTCTGTGGGCTCATTTATCTCTCTGGGAACATCGTCTGTGTCCGTTTGGGTGCTCTTAATTCATGATCAATGTGATTCATTGATTTTGTTTTCCATTTCAAACTGAATGTGTTGACAATGTTGAATGTGTTTTCAACAATCCAGAAAATTCGAAATGCTTTGTTCAGTATAAAAATGTTCTACTATAGTTTGTATATGAAGTAAATATAAGTCTGGTGATATTGTGTATTTTTCCTCTCATCATTAAATCTCATGTGCAGAGTCAAACCATCAATAGTCAATAACAGTATTGATTCTGCTGCTTCCTACTGTAAACCACAGAATCAGAGATGCGACAGCTGACGACACCAGCAGCCTCACACACAGCAAACTGTAAAACAGTAATATTCCAGCAGCTGCAGCCAAAGAAATACAGTAAAATAACTGACAATGTTTATTAAAATACAGTTGTATGTTTAAAGATATTTACAGTGTAAAACAATGATCTATAAATCCAGGTGAACTCTGC